ATGAAAAGTAATAAAGTTTGCCTAATTTTTACCACGGATGTTAAGCCTATTTGGGTAAGAAGTTGATAACGTTTTCATGGTGTGTGTGCTTGAAAATGTATTGCTACGTACCAAAAAACCAAGACGTACGTTTTACCCTAACTGATGGATATGTGCGCCATCTCTGTGTATTTAGTCAAAGAAGAAACAGGAAGTTTAAAGTTATTTAAGATAGATTAGGTTCAATCCTTTAACTTCTCAAAAGCCTGTCTTTCATTCATTAACCCCATCACATGGATGAGGCTATCATTATAGATTCTTCGGTGATCTTTGGAATTATTTTTAAGATTCTATTACAAAATGTGATTCTAGTTTTAAGATATTTAGGGTAAAGTCCGTTGTTTCTTTGGGATTTTCCAGTGCCGATTGGGATCAATAATTTAATACAAGAGATTCGGCAGGTTTAGCACCGTGGATTCTGAGGCGAAGATAGAGAGTTAGGCTCAAATTTAAGTTTTTAGAATCAAATCATAGTAATCCAGATTTAAACGGAGAGGATTGCGTTGAAGTTAATGGATTCTCGAATGAAGTCATTAATAATTCTAGATTAAGGATTATACGTAGAATTAAGGATTTTGTTATTAGCTCTGACGTCATACGTTGACATTGAAAGCATATTTAAACGAGGTCTGTGAGATAACATCTCCAGCTGTATAGAGTGTATATTTCCTAGATGTTACAATTAGACAATCATTTCTGGAACTCTATAGATCCCAAGTTATCCACATGAAATCCATTCTCCAACCAGGTGGATCTATATATACTGCTAACTTAATAGATTAAAGCTGGAGTGAAACTTTACCTACTTGTGTAAATAATAATGTTTTCATGCATGCGTATATACATGTGGTCTACTGAACATGCGCAGATAGATCAGATGGAAACTGAGCTTGATAATACACAAATTGCCTAATTATTATAAAAACAACAAAAATCCTAGTGTAGTGAGATTTAACAACGACTATTAATTACTTCAGTTATTAGTTCATTAATTTAACCGCAGATAATAAACGTTTCAAGTGGTTATACTTCTTCATAATTATATTCTTTAATTTATAATTTCCTGCCTTCAAATAAACGAAATGATTACATCACCATTATTTTGGACATTACAGAATTTTTTTAACGAGTTATTTTTAACTAATCTTAACCTTTTGGTTCCAAGAATACAATTCAACAGATTCGATCTAGACATATTCACACACACAAACACATGCTTATTATATTATTCTTCTGTAGCTACGAGGCCCGGCATGGCCAGGTGGTTAAAGCACTCGACTCGCAATCTGAGGGTCGCGGATTCGAATCCCCGTCACACCAAACATGCTCGCCCTTTCAGCCGTGGGGGCGTTATAATGTGACGGTCAATCCCACTATTCGTTGGTAAAAGAGTAGCCCAAGAGTTGGCGGTGGGTGGTGATGACTAGCTGTCTTACACTGCTAAATTAGGGACGGCTAGCGCAGATAGCCCTCGTGTAGCTTTGCGCGAAATTCAAAAAACAAAACAAACTGTAGCTACAAATATATTTCGTGCACATTTCAAATAATACAATCATTAACGAAACAGTCCCTCTGGTGGTCAGCGGTAAGTTTATGGACTTACAAAAATAAAATCCGGGCTCCGATTCCCCTTTTGGGTTCATAATTGTACCCCACCCTGTATGCTAACGATATGATAAACTCTAAAGTAATTACATTTATTACACGCATACATTTGAATTACACAGATATATTACATTTCTTTCGTGTTATGGAGCTCATATCTTGATTTAGGCTAAGCCACCGGTGACTCATTAAGTCTGAAGAGTTATAACTCTTAGAATATGGTTTCGATGGGTAGAGCACAGATAACCCTCGTGTAGCTTTGTGTTCAGCAACGAATTATCTTGACATAGATAGTAAAGGAAACTCGTAGCAGGAATCCCTTCCCTACCAGGCCGGCCACATGTGAGGTAGGTGTTCCATAAGTGATAACACGTGCGCGAGACTTGCATTTATATGCGTGTATGTATATATACATGTATATATATATATAACTTATCCAAAGCGGCCAGTGTTTCGGGGCAGTGTCAATGCACGTGCTATTGTTCCCTACCTGTGAATACACAAAACGCTAAAGCTAGAAAACCCGTCCAAATCGCACAATATTTCGGATGTCTACACAAACGTCATTTATCCTGCACTTTAAAGTTAAAGCGAATAAATCAGAATTAAGGCTACTTAGAGTAAACTTATTTTAAAGTCAAGCATATAAATAATCAGTATGTGTGCAATAATATGCTCTTGTTGGAATCCCAAATCCTTGTTTATCCGAAGACCGCCTGGAAGATCACCTGTTTTAACCACTCGCACACCACTGTACAGTAGTGTATTGTCTGTCAGTCAGTCAGTAGAAACTAAAGTGACGTCACATAAGTAAAGCTTAAACGATGCAGTAATGTTGTGACGTCAGTAAAACGTACGCATGCGCCGTGAATCACGAGAAGAATTATGCACTCTTTAGGCTACAACACGCAATAAATAAAAATATTTGTTACTCTTAATTTTGGATTTCTTTACCTTTGAAACAGAACACTTTAGGGGGCCCTGCGGAAGTACATCTAATTTATAACGTGGTATGTTTGTTTGTTATTAAGCTTCTCTGTGCCGTGCCCGCCGCAGGTATCGAAACCGGATTTTTAGCTTACCACTATATAGCTCATTAAATCTTTAAAATTACGTTATTAATTAATAGTGCGCAAAAACGAT